GGGGGGGGGGGGGGGGGGGGCAGCAGCAGCAGCAGCAGCAATCGCTTTGCTCTACATATACAGCTCACAGACACACAGACACACATGCTAGTGTGTGATGCAATCTCCGTTGCTGCTGCTGCCTGTTTTCGTTGTTGTTGTTGTTGTTGTTGCTGCTGCTGCTGCTGCCGTTGTGAGTACATAAGGGGATCGATCGTTAAAGCGCAAAGTTTGTACTGTACGCTGCTCGCTCACACACACACACACACATATGTATATATATATAGGAGAAGAGAGGAGCTAAACTTACCGGTAGAGTAGGATAATTGTTATAGTCATTGTGCGAATAGTTGGGCAGGTGATTGGCCACCAGCTGACTGGGCGGCGGCAAGGCCGTCGTCGTCGTCGACGTTAGGCTGTCCGGCGTCGGCTGCACCGCCAGCGGTGTGCCCGCCGTCGAACCTGTCAATTGATAATCCGAGTCTGCGAATCGCCCAATAATGACACACACGCAAGTCAAGATTAAAAATCTCAATTTTTCGTCTATGCAAAACTTATTTATTTTCTATTTCGGCCCTTACCTTTGTTAGTCGGCACGACGTCGGGATTACGATCATCCGGATCGTAGAGGTCCTCGGAGCTCGGCGCCGCCGATTTTTTTAAAGGTAAATCGCCTGGTCTCTGGTGGCCGCCGCCGCCTCTGCGATCGCTTCGTAGCTTCATGGCCAGCAGCACGGCCACTGTGCAGAACAGCAGCACTCCCAGGCAGCCAATCAGTATGCCCAGCAGCGGCGTAATTTCGAAAGGCACGGGGGTTCCTGTGAACAGTACGCGCACTGCGGTGCATCGTTTTATCAATATATGCATATAACGTCTATATCTATAAGATACACCGCGCACACAAATATATATATCGTAAATGAGTTATATGTTGGGAATGTACGCATAGCTCTACGCAGCATGGCATATGTATATATTGATGAAGGTATGCCTCGCTAAAGCGTATATTTACCCAGGCAGCAGTAGCGCGGTATGCACCGATGCACCGCCTGTATACCTATATATACATTGAAATATTCGATTGGTTAGTCACTGCACTGCGCTATACACGATGCAGTGCGTTCACATCTATATATAGGCACGTGTCTATATAACTATCAAGCTGATTAAGAGATATTTTAGGGACGCGAAATCTCTGCTCCATCGCTCTCTGCTCTGTCTCGGTTTTGCAAATGAAACCGATGCATAATAATATGCGCGTTACTCCGCAGCAGCGTAAAATTCCGACGTTTCCAGAGAGAGAGAGCACGAGTGTACATGTATCGCCCACGGATACGCGTACATCCGACGAGAGAGCTAATTAGATTTTTGCAACGCGATTAGATCGCAGCCAGTGATAGCGCGCATACGAGAGAGGATGTATTAAATATTTGCGTTGAATCGCGAAATTCCGAGTCTGTGATATTTTTCGTACGATCGTCGATATATCCGCACGCGGGCGCGTTCAACGTCTTTCGAGCTTTATTACCGTCTGGTGCGTGCATCGATATATTACTCGATTAATAGAGCCTTTATGCAAAACTGACGTTCTCCCTCTCTTATATATGCGTGTGTGTGTGTGTGTGTGTGTGTGTGTACGTATGCGCGCGAATACTTGATAAATAATCCTCCCGCGCGCACGCTTATACGAGCGCACAATGCCATGTATACAGAACGAGAGAGAGAGAGAGAGAGAGAGGCAATCTCTCGCACAGCTCGTTCGTTCTTCGATTTTCATTTTGTATATATACGTATACACAGCGGCAACCGGGCGCTCGGTGGTAATACGATCGCGCCGGCCAAGTTCATAAATCCCAGGCACGAGCATCGACAAATTTATTCGCGCTAAAAATTTATCTCGACGTATGTAGATTACGCCCTCGCTTATTCCGCCTTCGATATGCTTCTATCTCTATCTCTCTCCTCTCTCTTCTCCCTCTCTCTCTTTCGTTTCGTATCGATATACTCTCTGGGTTTTGTATGGTCGCGCTCGACCACACACATCTTCGCGTATACGTGCATAAGCTGCGAATATCGCGTCTTTAGTTCATTTAAAATTCTAGTTTAATAATTCGTCCGATTCACGAAGAGAGCTGCTGCCTTCGAGAGCGAAAAGAGCATACGTATACCAGGCGTGCATGTGAGTATACACAGGAGCAGCAGCCACTAGACTCGGACTAACAAATACACGGGGCAAAGGAGCCAGAGAGAGATAGAGTTCGCAAAAGACTCGTCGACTTAAATATTCCCTCTCTGCGAATTGACCCTTGCGCCTCTTATTTCCTGTTGACCTGTACGTTATACGAGTATATAATACATATGCACGCGAGACTCCTCGCTTTCTCGTGATGCATTTCTTTTTCACGACACAACCATGCTCTTCTCTGTCGTCGTACCGAACGACGGCGATGACGAAAAAGCTTATGCGTACATCGATGCATCCATAAAATATTCAAGAAAAAAATGAGGCAACAATTCAGTACAGCGATATAACAGCGTGTATAACTCACCAGTTTGTTTTTCAGCCACCTTGAGAGTGAAGCCCTCCAACAGGGTCGGCTCGCTGCGGCCCTTGGCGTTGACCGCGTACACCGACATACGCAATACTCGGCCGGGCTCGAGCTCGTGCACGTGAAACGTGGCCGAATCGCGCGAGCTCACGTTCGCCCGCAATTGACCGGTTAATTGATCGAAGACTTCCAATTGAAAGTGTTGAGTCTGACCGCCGTCGAAGCCGGCCGTGCACTCGACCGACAGAGATTGCGTTGTCTGATTCGTTAGCGTGCAATTGTACGGTGGCTCTGGTTTACCTGCAAAATAACATTACACGTTTTTGTTTATTTGTTGCTTTTTCGTTCTTGCGCTTCTTCCATTTCCTTTTTTACATCATCCTTCCAGCTCGTGATTGCACGTGTCTCCACCCACGAGGCTAGGGAATATCTCTCTCCGAGAGCACATAAAGAGGGTCGAAAAAAAAACAGAAGCAAAATTGACGCATACGTCTATACACACACATACACAGCTGGCGAGAGAGCACGTAAACGGAGATGCGCGCGCAAAAGTGTGTGCGTTGTTTTCTCGAGACGTTATACGCGACGACGAGCGCGAGAGAAGGCAAAAAGTGCTCGTTACGGGCGTCTCGACTATCTCTCCTCTCCCATTTGCGACGACGGAATCATTGTTAGGAGCAACGGATCGTTGTACGAGACGTTGACGCCATTGCTCGCGGGCATGCTAAGCATCTTCTCGCATATATATATATATATATATTATAGCACGCGCGCGCGAGCGACCGAGCGAGCGAGAGAAAGAAAAAGATATCCACGGATATTTTTTTATCATTCTCCGGAGAGGGAGATCGGCAAAAAAAAACTTATTTTACAAATATGTCTCGGTGGGGTTAAAAATTCTCATGGTAAATACGCGAGCCCGCGCGCGCACGCGGGCGTTCGAGTTAAAACTAGGAAAAATGCTACGTTTTTGCGTCGACGTATTTTTATTGTAAATATATAACTATACCCCGCCGTGTATGTGTATAGTTTGCGCAACTTGGCAAAATGTGTGTTATACGGTTTTTTCGAGTGGTGCAACTTTTTATTTTCCCAAACGCCTAGCTATTGCACATACTACAGCGGAACTGCATCAACTTTTTCACCCGCACGCGCTCCACTCTGCAGCAGCAGCAACGGCAGCAACAGCATCACGCGCGCGCGATACCCGCAAAGTTTTATCGATCGCGCGCGCGCGTACGGGCTTGAGAATATTTCGTTTTTTTTTTCAACGCTGTTGATACGATATGCACGCCTATACAGCATCACGTAGAGTAGTATACAAAAAACTTTTCTCGTTTGGAGCGCGTGCAACGAGACATATGCACTCGCGCGCGGCGGGGTATTATGCCACTAGACTATAGGTCACGCATGGGTACACTACTGACCGGCAGCGATAATGTGAAAGATGCAGGCGTTCTTCTGCTGTCCAGCGGTATTGCTGGCCCAGCAAAGCACCGTGCCGTAATCCGTTTCGCTGACCGGCTTGTAGGTGAGCACGCTCTGCGCCGAGATCGTGGAGTCGCTGTGACGGGCCGACGACACGTCGTTCATCTCCTCGGTATTGTTGAAGGCCCAGCGAAAGCTGTCGGGCGGCGGATAGGCCTCGACCTGGCAGAGCACCCGAGCCTCCTCGTGACGCGCCACTCCGTAGATGCGCTTCTGGTCCTGAACGCAGATTGGTTTGTCTGTAACAGCGCAACGGGGGCGAAAAGGCCAGTTATGTAACTACTCTGCTGCTATGTAGCGCACACGTAATATAGCCAGGAGAGCTATAATAATATGTGTGGGTGTGTGGGTGCTATGATACTCACACATGATTTTGAGCTCCACGATGTTGCTGTAGCCGTCGCCCTCGACGTTGCTGGCGATGCACGTGTAGTTACCCGCCTGGGAACGGTTAACTTTGCGAAGGGCCAGACTCGTTTGCTGAACTATCATGCCGAGTTTCGCGTTGTTCTGCAGCACTATGCCCTGCGAGGGTGAGATAGAGAGAGAGAGAGTCAGTGAGTGAGAGAATATAACATACAAACATATACAGCAGCAGCACGCACGCACACACAGAGAAGCGTAACGTTTCAAAGCGTACAGCAGCGCTTAAAGGTCGAGCTTAAAGCAGCGAGAAACTACTCTCCCGTTTTACTCTCGCGCTCTCTCGTGCATGTGCAGTGTGTATGTATGCGGATCAAAGCAAGACCGAAATTCCTCGCAGTGTGCAGTTCTCTTCTCTTTCTTTTTCTCAATTTCCGAAACGTCGACCGCAAGTTTCTTTCGCGACTCGCGAGTGCGCGCGCGCGTCTCGTGCTATGCTGTGCTGTGCAGCAACTGGCACAGAGAGAAAGAAAAAGAGAAAGAGAGAGAGAGAGAGAGAGAGAGAGAGAAGGTACACAGTGAAAAATTCGACAAAGGAACGCGTGATTCCTTCGTAAATTTCTCTCTGCCACGAGAGTGAGACAGAGAGAGGAAAAACTCGCTAGTTTTGGTAGGAAAATTTAAACAAGAAACGACGTGTGAGTGTGTGTGTGTATGAGAGAGAGAGAGAGAGAGAGAGAGAGAGCGTGGCTACGAGTTTGCTATATTTTTGTATGTATAAAGTAGAGAGAAAAATGTATTTATGCAAGCGTAGTTTTTAAAACGTGTACGAATTCGTGCAAGGAGGAATGTTTTAACCACGATTAAATATAGCCATAGGAAAAAAGAAGTTGTATTAAGTGAAAGAGAGAGAGAGAGAGAGTGAGAGTAGAAGAGAGCAAAAAAAAGGGAACTTACGTTGTGTTTCCAGACGACTTTGTAAGCGCTCGGGTTGGCGTCGACTTTGCAGTCGAAATAAACGTCGTCACCTTCCTCGATGTCGTCAGGATTCATGTTCGAGCCGAGACTCAGCGTCAGCGTTGGTACGTCTGTGGGGAGTAAACCGTTTTTTTCATACATAAGAATTCACAGCTTGGCTCTTTTTAATTATATGAAATGAATAAAATACGTGGTGCTTCTTGCGGCGAACTTACAAAACACATTGAGCTTCAACGTATCCTCCATAACGGCCGCTTTGACATTTGGATTTTCCGCCCGACACGTGATGGACGTGCCGTTGTCAGATTTGGTGGGGGTGAACGTTAAATTGGACGTCGTCATGTTGCCAGCGGATGAAACCTGCAAAGCAACGAGATCGCGCGAATGTAGTACAATATACGGCGAGAACGAGTAAAAACTTTTGCGTCGATACGTGAAAAAAAGAAAATTACGTTCGACAATAAGTAAGAAATCTTACATGACCACTTTCATAAATTTACATGAGTCGAGAGTTTTAGATCTTATTTTTCAAATTGCCATTACTCCATGTGGGTAATTGCAGTTTGGCGTGCTGTATCGCATGGCTCGAGTAATGGCTCGGAACACTTACACACACTTGGGTGTGTGTATACCGGGGTTCGCCACACCGAATGAGATGTAAATACTGATAGACGCAGCTTTGGCTTAACGAGACTCGCGCGAACGTTCGAATGAAAAACGTTCATGGGCATGTGCTGTTGTCGTAATAAATGTGAAAAAAGAATACTGACCTTTTGAGTGAAATTTTTCAGCGATTGACCCTCCATGTACCAGCTAAGATTGGCTGCCGGCCTCGAACCCACGGTGATGCATGTGATCTCGTACTGGCGACCAGCGCTCAGAGGTGCGTCTTCGCTCGTCAATATCGTCACGTTCAGCGGACTCACTGAATCGAGAACGGAAACAGAAAGAAAAATCGTATCGTGTTATTTCTCGCCCGTCAAGTTTTTGTATTCAAGACATGGTATTATTGCTTGCGCAGCTGTTGTTGTATGTACGCTATTTGTAGGATATTGTTTCGTTCGGTCTGACGAATCATGGGTATAAGCAGTGACGCCCGGGCAGTCACCATAACGTTTCGTCGAGCGCCGCCGTCCTTCGCCGCCTGACCTTAATGCGTTTCGAACGAGTACAAGTGGCAGGGGACAGAAATTCAGCTCGCGCGCACACCCCCGCAAAGACGACAAATCGTAACCGAACTTCCGCTTCAACACCGCCACGACCGTATGCCCCCAAACATAATGTTTAAAACTTTCTTGCGCTATGAGCCATTTTTTTTCGTTCGCTCTCTGCCATCGTGTCGGTATTAAATATACGAAAAATATGTATGGAGGGGCGCGTTTGACAATTAGCCTGAATGAACATTTTTGATCACTAGCTTATCGTTTAATGCATTGCAAAAACAATGAGTCAGATATGGGGTTGTAAAGCAAAAAAGAAAAAAGAGGAAGAAGAAGAGAGAAAAGAATCTGCCGCGCGCGCGCTCGGAGCTTCGCCAAACTGTGTGACGGCGAACTCGAGTTGCTACATGCGCACACGCCCTTGTGCATGTATAGTAAGGCTCGAGCATAGCGACTACATTCTCGAGGTCTGCCGGTGGGGTTCTCGTGTCTGAGTGGGCACTCGAGGCTTCAAAAGCACTGTGCCATACTACTCTCTTCGCTTTTTTTTTTTTACTTTTTCTCCTTCTTCTCCATTTTTTTTCTAACCGAAGGGTTGTCTTCTCGTTGTTAGAGTTTTTTTACCTTTCCCTTGCTCGCGCGCATGTAGTAGCCGTGATTTTTTTCCTGCTGCTGCTGTTGTTGCTGTTGCTGGTACTGCTTCTCTGCGACGTATAGAGAGAAGTTTTGAAAAGTTGTCTTATGGACAAAAAGCGAGAGCCGTACAGCAGATTGAATCTGTGATTTGCCTTAGAAAAGCGGCTGCGAGAAATATTGTTTGACGTAAATTTCGAGCCCTTGTCTTTCTGAATCTCCGTCCGGACTAATCAACGAGACTCCGTGCTGCATTTTACATAACTCGAAACTGCACTGCATAGGAGTTTCTTGCCTCTATCTCTTTTTCTTTCGAACAATTGCGTCTCTATATCCGTCATGTAGAATCCAAAACAATTTGAGAATTTCACTTCGGTCTTCGGCAAGAAGAAGCTCGTTTTGCATCTTCTCTCTCAACTTCTATATTTACAACTGCTGCTGCGCACTACTATATCAAACTTTGCTCGCAAGAGAGATTTTTTTTCCCTCCCTTCCCTCTGCAGTAATCGAAAACTGCTGTGTAACTGGAAAATTTTGCCGAGATTTTGCCGAGGATAATTATCGATGTTGCATGAGATCGAGGGGTAAGTTTGAAAAACAATTTAAACTTTCTTTCCCTTTCTTTCTTGCTCTCTCTCTCTTCAATTCTTCTACTTCTCTCTATCTCTCTCTAGGCTATCATGCAAAAGGCGCGCACGAGGTTAATAAGTAAATTATGATAAAATTCGGCCAGCAAATCCCAACTGCTCAAAGCACACACAAAGCGCTGCTCGGAGCGCGCACGAGGCACGAGAGCCTAGGATAGTAATAATGGCGTTAAATCAGACGCAGAAGAGGGCGAAGAAGACCCAAGAGTAGAGAGAGAGCGGAGAGAGTAAACCGTCACTGACTCCATTAGCAGTGGACTGCCCTCTAATTAGTCAGGCTCGATTAAGAAGGCGCGCACGAAGCGAGGCTCTCTCTACTCTCTTCCCCCTTCTACCTCTTCTCCGCAGAGCCACCGCCAGCGCCGTTGCAGTACCTATGTATATATATGTAACACGCACACACACACTTACATAGATAGCTCGCTGCTCTCTGTGCTCTATCCCACGAGAGGTCAATTCAATTCCCGGAATTCGCATCTACATCTATATATGTAGCACCATATATATATCGTATACCCTCCCTAATAATCTCCACATTCAGGAGGATCGCTTATTTTCTTTAACACGCAAAAAACGAAAAGGTCGCCCGGTCGATTGTGTGCGATCGCGCGCGCGTTCTCTACTACTCCCCGTTCTTTTGCGGTAACCGAAGCAGATTAAGAATACGAACGAGTCGTGTAGTTTTTGCTCGATTAAGTTTCCTCTGCTGCTGCGCGAGAGCTGCCAACGAAAAAGAGTCAGAGAAAAAACCCGAGTGTATTGAAATTTTTCATTGTGTGCCCAAGAAGAAAGAGAGAGAGAGAGGCGAGAGAGGAACGTTTTCGGAAATGAGTTTCACTAGGCGCTCGATAATTTAATGAAATCGTCGAAGGTACGAACAAATAAGGTGTGGGGGTGGAAGGGCGATTCGAAGCTGGAAAAAAAATGCTCGAGCTCACGAATCGAGAGTGCAAATTAAATCCTATCCAATCGATAAATAATAAGATGGAAATTGTAAGTTTCAAGGGTAGTTGAGCAAATAAAAGCAGTCAAAAAGGTACTGCTTTTTTTGCACCCTGGCCTGCTGTTTCTACTAAATCTCTCCCAGCTTCTCTCCCTCTTCTCCGAAAGCTAACGTCCATGAAGTAAAAGGAAATCGAGTGCTAAATAAAACTTTTAACTTTACTCTTTCGCTGTACTTTTTGTATAATCTCTCTTTTATATATATTCTTTCACTCTGCGTTTCGCTATATGCCCTTGCTGCTGCTAAAATTTTTTTTTTAACCTTTGAACCCTTTTTACACGCAGACCCACGCACGTAGTACACAGAGATATGTGCGTCTGAGCGTACGCAGTAGTAGCACCGGTCAGCTTTGGTACTTGGACACACAGGCGGCCCTTGCATACGCACAGACTCACACGTATACAGACACAGAGTCTCTATTTTTCTGCAGCAGCAGCCCGGAAAGCATCGATTACGTTTTCCACGTACGGGCGAAAAACTAGCGCAAGCTCCACTCTCGCTCTTGTGACTCTCGTTTCTCTGAGTTACCAATTCTTTTCTCTCACAGTTTGCTCTCAATTTGCGATCGATTTCTCTCTCGCCCTCCCACACACACACACACTCTCTCTCTCACTCTCTCTCTCTCTCACTCGCTCTTTCTCTTTCCTCTCGGCAGTCTTTTTCCATTCCGTTTCGGTCGGAGAAATTTCGTTCTTTGCTGCGCGCTCTCGTTCTCTCATTGCGCTAAATACAAGCCGGGCCGTATAGAGGATTCTTGTGCAGCTTTACGTGACATTAGAACACGTTTTTTTGCAGATCTATATTTCTTTAACTTTCTATGTTGCCTTTTTATTTTTTTCAACCCTCTCTTACTCTTACTCTCTCGTTGGAGTCTAATTTCCGAAAAGTTAGCATAAGGTTAAAGGTCGTTAACGACTTTGTCTTGAAAAGCCATTAAAACTAGATTTCATTGTCAATTGGTACGAGAGTGAGACGCAGCAATAGCAGCAGCATATAACTATCGGAGGCACAGGCGGAGTTATACGGTCAGTGAGAATCACGCGCGCGAGCTTGGGAAACTGTATGCGGTCGAGCAACGCGTCCAAACGTTTCAATTGTTCTTGTGGCTATCAGAGGTAGAGGAGCGAGCGAGCGAGAGAAATGGTTAGCGAAGCTTAATAGTTTTCTGTACTTACACAATACTACTAATATATAGACAGCTAGAAGTTATAACTTTCTCTGTACATGCGTACCACCCCCCTTAACGTCGAAGAGCGAGCATAAAAATTCGTTCCCTTTTATTATTTTTTTTTTTTTGTGCGCGACTTTTACAACATTTTTAGTTTTATTAAGTTTATGCATTCGTATTCCACTCTGTTACGAGATATTTGATACGTGAGTTTTGCTTTTCCAGCGCCAATCCCCCGCTTGCACATATTTTCTTTTTTATTTTTCGGAAAAAAGTGCGCGCACACTTTGGAAAATACCCGCACGCGCCCACCCGCGTACATATATATACGTGAGTGTGTTATCGACTCGCATTGATCGAGCTTGCGCCACAGCTGCCTCCCACGAGCGCGCGCTCACGGTTGTTGCGATTTAACGATAAGGAAAACATCGCTCGTAGAGTAAAACTTTTTTTTCTGTTCAAATGCCGCTGTTTATAGTTTTTTCGTTGTTGTTTTTTTTCTGAGCGTACACAAGTTGTCGTATATTGTAAAAAAAAAACAATTTCTAAGCTCAAAAACTCTAACAACAAACGATAACGAAAATGATATTGCTGATACGTATGAAAAAAAAAAAAAAAAAATCAGAGTAAAAACACAGGTATTTTGTACTTACGATACATATCTATAGCTACGGAGGCCGAGACAGGCTGGCTTATGTTGTTGTTGGACGCCTGACACGTGAATTTGGCATGCAAATCCGAGCGCGTGAGATTTCGCACGACCAGAGTGCTTCGCTTGACCAAATCGCCCCTCGCGACGGTGGCGTCGAGCAGCATTTCTCCTCGCCACCATCTTACGACCGGCTCGGGTCGACCTGCAAAAAAGAAAGTGAGAAAAACAATGGGTGAAAAACTTTTATTATAATGGAAATGACAGAATCGAAGAAGTCTCGATATTTTTTAATAAAAATTGGAAAGGAAATGTAATTCTTTCTACTTATTACTTTTAAGCTTAACCATAATTCAACTGAAAGAGGTGCTTTTCTCGGGGCATGTATACGTGTATGTGTATGTGTGCGAATAAAAAGCACAAGCTTCAACCTGACACACATCTCGCGTAGAAAGCCAGAGAGAGAGAGAGAGAGAGAGAGAGAGAGAGAGAGAGAGAGAGAGAGAGAGCAATATTAAAGTTTTCAAAAAGTAGTCGAGAAAGAAAGCAGATGAGAATTTTCCTTTTTTCTCAACTCATCCTCCTCGTTCTCGGCTACAGAAAAGTCAAGTGAAATATCATTCGAAAAGCCGCAGCAGCGAAAAGAATCTCTCTCTCGCCCCGCGCTTATGGTAGTAATTGAGTATTGAAAAAATACTTTTCAAACATGGAGCTCTCGCTAGCTCTTGTGCACGCGAGCAAAACGAGAGAATTCTGAGCTTGCAATTATTCTTCTTCGAACGGGAATGATAGAACAAAAAAAAGTGGGTTGAGGAGGAGGAGGAGGGAAGAAGAAGAAAAAGGATCAATTTTCCGTAGAAACTATTAGCGCTCGTTTTACGGTGTAAAAGTATGCTTTTTTGTTTGCATTTCCGTATGTTAATAATTTATACGGCTCTCTCGAGTGGTATACACGTACGAAACACAGCAGTACAACACGTACGCGTGTGTGCGCGCGCGCGCTTAGCATAGGTGGGCGCACGATGAACAGATTGGTCAGATGGGGGCAATGCGATGATGAGATAATGACAGTCACTGACCCGTGTGGCGTACGACATCGAACATGTCCACCTGGAGGGCTGTTAGACACAGTGCGCAAGGCAATGTGTGTATGTGCGCTATACGCTCATATATACGCACTGTATAGAATGCGGCGCGCGGCGCATTGATACTCGCGAACGTGTACGTAAGAGACCGTTGTATATAGTACTAAAGTACGCCCACCCGCGCGCAGTCGCCGAGAGTCAAGGGACTCTCGTTATTCGCGTTAATTCATAATTCATATAATGGACCTTGCGTGCGGATAATATACTCGGGCGTGTATGTGATATATACTTGCCGACCACTGCCGCACCGAGTGCTATTCTGGTGGTTGTCGTCGTCGTCGTCGTCGTCGTCGTCGTCGGAAAACAGCAAAATAAAAGCAAATCACCGACTGCTAGTAATGGAACGTGACTGAGGGGGTCGATATATCGATACATATACGTATGGCTTAACTCGGTATGTGTATGTGTTTGTGTATGTGTATACGTGTATACGACTGAAGTATTCATTTACCTCCGGATACTGAACAGCTGAGCTTCATGTCTCCACCCTCGACGTAAGGTCCCGCCAAAGTGCCCACGGTTTTTCCTTGCTCGTTTATGATGTTTGGCCTTGCAGGTGGTACTGAAAGTAGAAATGGGGTGTGAGATAAACAGCGGATTAGTGGAATCGTGACACACACACACACACAAGTTGTCGTAATTCGGGGATTAGGTATATTCATCTGTAATACTCACTTATTATGTCGAGTTTGACGCGGGAATTACGAGTTGGACTCTTCAGAAAGTCGACCCTGCAGCGATACTCGCCTTCGTCGTCCTCCTGCACGTGATTGATGTTCAGCGTCGCCGGATACTTTCTCGTCTGGAAGTAAGCCCTCTGATTCAGATACTCAACCATCCATTGATTTGGCTTCTCCGAATGTTTGCCCCTGATGTCATAGCTGAAACACAACAAGAATTGATCGTTATGAGGATTTTTTGTTCTACCTCAGATTTATGCAATATTTATGACGTTCAAAAAGAGCAATTCGTTATTCATAAATTAACTTCGCCTCTCACGCACAGCTACGTCGTGTATAGTTTCCAGCGATGCCGAATTTCGACCGGATTTTCACAGAGCTAGAGAGAGGAAGCTTTACTCCCCCGCCATGTACAGGCTACGTGTCGATGCGCGTTACGCCGAAACCGCATCGGTGACGACAGCAGCAGCAGCAGCAGCAGCGACGCGAGAACTCGAGTGCAGCGCGCAGTCTATTTTTTACGTGGTTTTCGTCGATACATGCGTATGCTGCTCATATCCGAGAGAGAGAGAGAGAGATTGTGCGTCGCATTATACGCATCAAAAGTATAATCGAGCTGGATTTAGCGGTTTCCAACGGCAAGGGTAGCAGCTTGCGAATATATAATTAATCACGACGACATCGACATTTTCTAACTCTCGTTATAATTATAACTATAATAATCGTGATATAGTTATTGAATTTTGTTCTGATAATCTGCATTCACAATACGGTAATTGTCTCTATCGCTTTTGCATCGATATACGTGTTCTGTATTTAGAGGTTGTGTTAATTCACAATTGCATACCACGAGCTTTTTTCTCGCTTTTTTCATTACTCGCTGATTCATTGCAGGGTTGGTTTATGTACATTTGTAATTCATAAAACATCACCTCGATTTCCAAACAAATCTATTGCTTTTATCTACCGGTAAAAATAATAATAATAAGTACGATAATAATAATAATTTTTATGCTTCATTGTCGATGCTTCATACAATACGGTAAAACTTCATTTTAACAAATGAGTCGTACGCAGGTACACACACGTCTACCGTGCTGCGAGAAGGTGAGGGGGTGCGGAGGGCCGTTGGCAAACAAGGGACAAATCATGAATATTACAAAGCACGACCATCGGTCCGCTTGTGTAATATTATGTATATTTTGAATTGAATTAAAGTTAAAATTCGCGAGTATTATATTATGAGCGCGCGAGAATATGTGCGTTTGTGTGTGTGTCCACCATTCGTTCGTTCGGTCACGCGCATTATTATGCACAAAGTTGAATGTACCTTTCGCGCGGCGCGAGAACTGATGGGAAGGCTCTGTACGCGCACGTATACACACACGTACATATAGATGACACGTATGCAACAATATGAGAATGCTATGCATGTAAATCAAACCTAGCCAATGAAAGCTCGAGCTCGCGAGTCGCGAAAGAAGAAAAGAATCCGTATTATTGCGCTGTGCGTTTCTATACATACGTTGCGGAATAGAACGAAACCCTAGAAAATATTTATATAGCGTACATGTATATATAGCGACAATTTTTTCGAGCTTTTTTTCTCATTTTGTAGTTTCTCCGTGTTTTTTGCTATGTACATGTATACAACATGTTTTTATGTGTGCAAGTTTTAAACGAAAAACGACTGGTTAGATTTTATCGACTTCCGAGATCGGCTCGAGCTTCTCTACTTCGCGCGAGTATAAAGGCCGTATAGAGAACACGTGGAAATAGAGGAGCCGAGCGAGCGAGCAAGAGAGAGGGAGTAATTCATTAAAGTCAGAAGCTTGCCTATGTCAAGATCATCCTCTTGGCTAGCTCATACAATCTATAATCTCTAGCGCACCGGAGGGGTAAAGTGTGATTTTCAATTAACTTGTCTCTTAGCCGCAAGTTTCATCTTATCCCTTTTGGGAATAAACGCTATACGTATATAGATTTACACACACACACACACACACACACACTTGCAACGTGTTATGACACGAATAGTATACAAATACTAAATATCTTCTCCTTCGGAGACCCGGTGGAATATCGATATGTTATAACTTGGTCTCGTGAAAGGGCAAAAATAATATTCGCGACATTTACACTCCGCGCGCTGCGGATCGGCTGCGCTGCGTTTCAGCTCGACGTATTACAAGCGCACAGGAGCTTTATTATATATATATAGGTATATATATAATACCGAGACGTAACGCGATATACGGCAATCGAACACGTCTATATGTATACAGCACGACTACCGAGCAACTACTGCTCGGCGACACATATATATTGTGCTCTCTCGCTAGCTCGCTCGCCTAGCTCATTTCGTAACCCCCGCTTGTCGATTTGCATATTCATTAAACGGTAACGCACACAGACTGAGAGCCTCTCTCCCTCTCACCTTCGCTATCTAGATATCCGCGTGTGTAGTGTACGTGTGTGTGTTTATATGTGGGTGACATGGTTCAGTAGCAACTGAACTAGCTGCAGCTATATGCATACGTAGGTACGTGTGCGGCTGCGATGACTCGAATGGGATAAGAGAATTTAGTTTCCCAGGTAGTATCTACGTGTGCGGGGAGATATAGCATATACACAAAAGATCTCCAGACAAGTTTGTATTCAATGTCTATGTATGCTACACGCGCGCGAATGTGTCTCTGTCTGTGTGTACGTAAGGGTTGAAGCTAGGGCAAGGTGGGTCGAGAAAGGAGGAGGAGGAGGAGGAGGTCTGAATGCACGATAAGAGGCGTGGGTTATGTGTAGATGTGCGCCAGATCAAATTTGAGCTAAGAAACGCCTGCTACTAACGACCCGAAATTCAAGACGGATTTGCATTTCGCCACTTGCAGTTTGCTTCTTTTACCATATCGTCTACATACGTACTGTATACCCTCGTACACTCTATTAAAGCTTCATGCATATACCTACGTATAATGCATAATACATAATCCGATACAGTCCGCGCAGAGGTCGTGTGAGGAGAATGGACGACAATTGTTAGCTTTCACGAGGAACGACCAAAAAAGCTTGGACAATTTCTTTTGCGTGTAGCATCGCGCGTCCTCGACACGCCCTTTTAACACAAGGGATTTCGCAGACATTATACGTCGTGCTACGTAAGAAGGAAGCGCTGCTACACGCGCGTGTTGTCGCTCCACGCTCATTTGACGGCATTTCATTCCCCTCTATTGAGCCGAGCGCGTTGCCATTGCTACTGCTAAAACTATATATATGCATGTGTGGGGATGTGTTACTGCTGCTGCTGCTGCTGCTGCTGCTGCTGCGCGAGAATAATCTAGCGACAAAACGCGTTAATTGGCCAATACAACATTATGTATATAGGTACACGTATAACAGCGCGAAGCAAGCAGCACTTAGTAAGAAATGGAGAGAGAGAGAGAGAGAGAGAGAGAGAGAGAGAGAAAGGGAATACTTTGACTGCGACTAGAGCTTCAAGTGCTACAAGCGCTCGAATACATCGGGGCGCGAGGCGCATAATAGCACGGTATACACACACACATATGAGTACGTGTAGATATGTATGTGCGTGTAGCTTTATAAGCGTCAACGATTCTCTACATTCCAGCTTTCTCTCTAGCTCCTTATGAGTGTGTATACGTGCGTCCTATACCTGCAAATGTACGTATACAGAGCTTGCAGACACATACACACACTGGCGCAGAGGCCTGTACAATAATATATATAAGCAACACATCGCGCGCACGTACGTACACCGCGTATGTATGTAGGTATAATATAGAAGCGAGCTGTGAGCGAGATAAAGCCTCCTCAAGGGTTTACCGACCTCCTCCTCCTCTCTCTCTCCCTCTCTGGCTCTTTGTACGTCTAGTTGAAGCAGCGGTGCTTGCAATTAATTCGTCGTCGTCGCTGCTACCGCTGCCTACGTCTAGACGTATACGTATAGTTGCGCCACTGCAGCCGTTTCTACGATATTCAACTCTATATGTGCTGTGCTGTGCGGCGCACTGTACAATGTAGTCGTCGACTACTACTGCTACTGCTACTACTACGCGCGTACTACGCAAAGTGCACTACAACTGTGCGCACGAGCCGGTATTTATATGTATATATATAAATGCTGCACGCGAGTATACAGAGAACCACGAGGGTGCTGGCCCGTGGACGAGGTTTTAAGCCCCGTTGGGACTCGGGAAATAGAGGAAGAGAGGGAGAGAAAGAGAGAGAGAGAGAGAGAGAGATGAGCTTGCATTATGAAATTAATGAAAATGGAGGATTTAAGATGATAGCACTCGAGTGTATGCATGGCACTTCAAACGCTGCCATTATTTTCCAAGTTTCATCCATTTTTTTCTCTTTCTCTCTCTCTCTATCTTAAATTTTATCATACCCTCACCACCGATCTACGTAAACTGTTAAGTAATCATTGCTTCTTCGCTTCTTCAAGGGGGGCTAAATAACTGTAATTCATTTGTAAATACATGCGCTACAATGTCTTGGAATATACAACACAGAATCGACGTAATACTTGAGCTGCAGTTATAAGACTAAGCAATACTTAAGTCGTCGTGAATCCTAATGTATACCTTATAGTATGCGAGCCCTCGATTATTATGCCTCACAGCGATTGACACTTTGTCCTGCTGGGTGCCTATTATATTAAAAATAAAACACGTACACTCGTCGCGAGCAATCCCTTACGATTCTTCGTCGCAATAATATTCGCGTGATAAACACAGAGGTATTAAAGCTTCGTTCGCTCGTACATACGATCGTCATTTATTATATATACTTTCTCTCGTGGCGTTGCTGCTATATATCTGCTCGCTCTCCAAAATTCACTCGATATTCCCCTGTACATTACGAGGAATAGTACAATGCAGCGTTGCACACTGCATCGTGTATTGTATATATCTCGGTATATACGAATGTATACCTATACGCGCATGGATTGTACTCTTGACCTTATAAATGCCTGCCTGAGAGAGGTGTGCTAGCGTACATACGCGTTACAGCGTATACCTATAGCCGATACATAGAATATCGCAACGAATTCTCGAAAGAGAATCGACAAATATTTGTTGCTCTGATTCGTTAGAAGAGCCCTCAATAGATAGATGTAATACTCGTGAAAAGGGGGGGGGGGGAGAATTATAATTCACGTTTCTGCAGCCTGCGCGGGG